AAAGACAGGCGTAAAGAACCTCCTTCTCCTCCCCTTTCCCACTCCCAGCCTGCTGTTATGGCATCCACTCACCATGGAATGCCTGACCCTTGCCTCCCCAGGAGGGAGCACTGACAACACAGAATTCCTCTGCCATAGGAATGAGGATTCAGTCAGAAAGTAAAAAAGGCTTAACACCCTATCTTGCTATGCAAGTTAATGTTATCAATTAAATATTTCACCAGAATACATCCCTCTTTTAAAACTCTGAAGTCTTAACCTTTTGAGGAAGGGGAATTTTATGTAAGATAATACACTTTCAAAATCCTGTTGCTGGTCCCAAGTCCCAAGAATAAAGGCATGATTTACAGAGGTGAAAGTCAGGCAGGGCACTGGTGACTGAGGTTACATAGCCACTCTTGGCATGTCTTCAAAGTATAAACAGCAGACAGACAAAAGGTAAAAGCCAGTAAGTTCTACTCAACATCCAGCAACATTCTCCAGACAGGCACTGGTATTTTCTGTAAGAAAGAAGCTCATGACCACACAGGAATTGTCAAGCCATAGATGGAATAGCCTAAATTTGGATTCTGAGTAAACCTTTAACCTCACCCCCTTGGACAGAGGTACCTTGTTAATTTGCACTATATGATGATACTTGTGTTGTGCAGAGTGAATGCCTTAGCTGCTGTGTCCCCTGGCACTGAGGGCAGGAAGCTTTGGGAGGTTTCCAGTGGAGCTGACCCCAAACCAAAAAGGCTGTGGTACGAGCAGCTCTGTAGGTTCCTTTTGTCCCTGTGCTTAGCCCTCAGCAGGAGGTGCTGCAGGTACTGCAGTGACAAACCCACCCCCGTGTTTTACTGGGATTTGCTGGATTTCTGTTTCCAAGTGTGACCTTTCCTTGTGCTGACTGACCAAGAGATCTTTGATATGATCCGTGTGTTCTGTCCAACCGTAGGCTAGCTGAACGTCTGTAGAGTTGCCTGGAATGCCATTTGTTAGGTTATAAACTCACACAGATCTAAATGAAGGGTTCATGTTGTGTACAAATCTTGATTTCAGAAGTTTGACACAATTGTGATGACATTTGTAAAACTTGTACAGATTTTTCACTATGTGCCTAGCTTTGGTGTCCATTCAGCTGAAATTAATTAAAAAAAAAAAAGGTGCATGAAGAGAAACAGAAATAAAAAAATATATGTAGAGATGACTATTTTATATTACATGGCCCAATCCTGTATTTATTTTCTCCCTTTTTTGAAGTATTTCTAAAGACCTAGTTGAAACAGCTGTATTTTTTGTTAAAATATTCCGTAGAATTGTGCCTTTTGTCTGTATGTGAATAAATGCTGTACATTTTTGCAGTATCCTTGCCAGCAGTGGTTTAGACCTCCCTGTATTTGTATTTGGGTTCTTACAAAAACACTTCACTGCAATGGTCTGAACAGCTTTCATGGGTTAGCACAGGTATCACCATGCACATTGCAGCTGCAAGATTTTGTAAATTTTTAAGGTTTTAAAGGTTTTTTTGTTACTGACAGTTGTGCCCATCCCATCAGCAGCACACGGAGTGTTTTTCCCCTTGGCATCCTCACAGAGATGCTGCTTACCTCAAATCATTTACATTTGTAGACAGAGGATGTCCTTGCACAGTCCATGATCTCTGTACTTGTTCCACTGGAAAAGGAACCTGAGCTTTGAACCTGTGGATCTGTGGGATAATCAGGCTGAAAGTTCATTCACACTCTGAACTGGCTGGGCTCATGCATTACTGAGGGAACATTTTCTTGTACAGCAGGATTTCCAGATGAGGATTGCTTTAAATTCCAGGTGCAGAAACACGGAATGGACTTAGTGCCAAGCAAGAAAAGGCTGTGAAAGGACACCCTGAGCAATCCATCTTGAAAAAAACAGATCTCCCAATTTAGGAGCAGCTTCCTCTAGCCACCTCAGGGAAATAAAGGAGGTGTTGGGTGTATGATCAGCTCCATGTCACCACATTCCTCTCTGTGACCAGGACAGAAATCTTTTCCTTTCCTGTGTCATCTGCTGGAATTGCTCTGCTGCCCCTGGCTTTGTGTCACCCCTGCAGTTCCTGTTCTGGCAAACAGCCACCAGGCAGGAGCTGCACCCCAAGGTGAAATGAATATTTCCATAATTAACAGGGAAGCCTGCAGGTGCCCTTCTGGGCCTCCAGGAACAAATACCCAAATCCTGAGGAGTGCCTCCCCCTTCCAGCCAGGTTTCACTTCACAGCCAGAGCCTGCCTTTGAGCAGTGAAGGGGATTAATGGCTCACACAAAATCTTCCAGGTGGCCTGTCATCATCTCAGCTGTGCATTATGCAAATGGAAACAAGGTGCCTGCCACTTGCCTGCCTCTGTATCGCTCTGCTGATTGATGAAAACCTCACCTGAACAGACACTTGGAGCTTCTGAAAAATGTATCCACGTTGTTTTGGAGAATCTTCCACATCTTTTAACCAAAACTGAGATTTAGAGATTGCAGTGGATACAGGCATCTATCAAGAAGAAAGAGCAACCACTCTAGGAACTAGTGGCATTCCCTGCAGCAAGCAGGATTTGTTTCTGAGGGTGGATCCATCTTGCAGGCTCTACCTGAACAGCCAAGATTTCAGGAGGCAGCACAAAGTCTTGTCTCCACAGGGGGGATCAGCTCAACTCTGTCCTCTGAAATGCAAACATGGTGAAGGTCCACTGCCGTGGACACAAATGAGACATTTCCATCAAGTACTACCCAGCAGCTGAATGAGAGGTTAGAAACCAGAGCTCCACTCTTCACATTGAAGTGGAAGGACAAGCAATTATGTCAGTCAAGGCCAAGATGTGAGCACTTCAAAATCAGTGCAACACCTATCAAATGCTTGTACTATATGCTAAAAGAGAAAATGGACTTTGGCTGTAATTGTATAATGATAGCTATGACCTGTCTCAACTATCAAAAATGCCCATGTACATGAGGATCCCCACATCTTGGCATCTGTACAGCTGAAACCCACTATTGCAAAAGGCATAAGGGCTGGGTGACTTCACCCTGGTGCAAATTGAAGTCAGAGAATGGAATTTCCCAGATACGTCGAAACCAAGCAAGCAGACCAACAGAAAAGCAAGGAATTGTAAAAGAATTATGAAATTAATAGTACATTAAGAAGAAAAAGCACAACTGTAGGAAGATGACAGAGCTTAGGAATGAGCTGAGTAGTCACAGCAGCATTTTCATTATCACCTGCACCTTAGGGCCACCAAACCAAACTGAATTCTTTACACTGGAAGGCAGCAGAGGCATTGTGCAGCTCAAACACTGACCAACCAAAGAGCAACTCTGGCACTCAAACACTGACCAACAAAAGAGCAACTCTGGCACTCATGCTGTAATGAGTCTAATTATAATGCACAAAGGATCTTCAAATTGTTCCCAAGTTACCTGCACTATACAGAACAATTAAAAAGATACTGACTGCACATGAGCAAAGCCAAGATGAATTTCAACAGAAGTGTTATGTACTCCCTGTACACAATCTTGTCACAGTTGGAGCTGCTGGATTTTAGACCAAAAACCCTGAATGTGCCACAGCACTGTGCCAGATTTTTTCATTTGCTACATTAAAGGACTTGAATGACAACATTTTGCAGACTTCTTCCAATCTTTATTGTGCAAGATCTTCATCCACTCCTTTTCTTACCAGAATTTAAGTTTTACAAGCCTTGCTGTGCTTTTGACTGTAGTGCTCCAATATGAAGTTTCTCCAGCAACCCTCCTAACTCCCAACATGAGTGGGAGTTGATAAAGGAATGATAAAAACATGTGTTTAAATAGTTTCCAGATCCAGATCCTTCAGGGAAGCAGCTTTTTTATTCTGTGTAGTTAGCAGGCTGAGCTGTAATGAAACAGAAGCAGGTGATAGCTTCATAATAATTCTTTGTAGGATCAAAGTAACAGTAACAGTAGAACTTCCATACTGAATGTGTCATGAAGGAGGGGGAACAAGCCCAGGCAGTGTGAGTTTGGGATAAACAGCAGAATATACAATGTACTCTGTAGATGACTACTGCTTTTGTCTTATTTCAGATCCCAAAGAATACAAGATGATAGGTAGCAGGAACTCACTTTAAAAGACACCTACAGGATAGGTGATTTAAATTTGTGCAAACATTGTCTTGTATGTTTTGTGTTTCTTACTGAGTCACTATTACTTCAGAATAAGCTAAGATTTACAGTCAGTGAACTGACCACAGTAAAAGTGTAATTTCTAGGCTCCCTCCTAGTCCAGCTCTATATCTGATACAATTTTACAGTGAAGGTGGATAATGTAGTGAAAACACACAATGCAGAAAGCAGCCCTCAGCCTGCAGGTTAGGAATAGAGAGAATCATTGCTCTGATGGAATTCACATGTGAACATTCAGCCCTCTGGGGCCTAGGAGAGAATAAATACCCAGATTCAGAAGAGGGGACATTCTTGCAGCACTGCTGGAGACCTTGAGCAGGGACAGTGCCAGTATGTGTTTTTTTTGGGGTAGAGAGAAAAAGGAAGGGGCTTGGCACAACAGTTCTGAAGTCTGGCAACAGCATTTGGGCTGCACAACATCAAATCTCTTTGTTATCCTTGAGAGAAAGCCTGGTGAGGAACAGCTAATTACCAATGTTTCCAGGAACAGCAAGACCTCTTCCTCTGTGGACACCAAGGCCAGGAGTTTATTCCCTTGAAATGTGACATAAGGATGTTTGGGGTTTTATGGGAAGAAAGCATCTTAGAAGCATTAGAGCTAAACAGACCCACATAACAAACAGGAGGTTGAAAAAAAAAAAAAAATTCCTCTTTCAGAGCAAATCTTTAGCAGCTGAATAGACCTTGTCATGACAGAGAGCATTTAGAGCCAGGAACCACAGCTTATGTTATGACAGCTTGGCAGCTATGCCCATTTATTCACTGCTGTTGAGAAAAAAATGCCATTTGTCCTAACTGAGCAATTTAGGTCAGCCAAACATCTCTCCTCTCTGCAGCTCACATGGGGTCACCCACATTAACAAGCTGTAATTTGCAAATGGTTTTCCTAAATCACTGTAAAAAAAAAAAAAAAGCAGGAGGCAGAAAGACCATCTTTACTTAATAGGAGGCCAACTTGAGTAATGAACTTCCTTGGCACAAAAACTGAACTCAGTGTATGAACCCCTGTGGGATTTGCTTCAAATTGTACAGCTGAAACACTATGGAAAAATTGAATACCAAGAGGAATCCACTCTCTCTCCTTTACCTCTCCAATGGCCTGGAAAGAAACAAGCATTTCCTACTCTGTCTGCACAATTTTTACCACTGCAGGAGCTGCTGCAGCTGTTGCACACAGCCAGTGGTAACTGCAGTGGGTGCACTCCAGCAAACAGGAGCTACAGTTATTTAAAGTTTTTTTGTCTTTGCTAACTTGCCATGTACACCTTCATTCACACATTTTGAACCTTGCAGGTTTCATTCATATCAAATTCCACAAATAAACCTAAGCTGTCAAATACGCTGTCAGAAGGTGACATGTCCAAAATACAAACTTGTAAAAGTCGTGTTGGTAATAATGCTCATGAGTGATCACCTCTGCCTCAGGAATGATGCACAGTGAGTACTTTTGCACATTCCAAGTGCCTGGATAAGACTTTTTGTGGGCTGGGTACCTGCTGGGATGCTGTGGCTGCTCTCTGTTCTGCCTGGCTCAGCCGCCTCTGCAGCCTGTCGATGTATTCCCGGTACTCCATCATCAGCGTCTCATCCTGTGGAAACACAATCTCTCATCACACTGCCAAGTTCTTTTTCACTGAAGCCACTCATTCACTGGATAAAGTAGCAAAAAAAAAGCTTAGCACAAGAGGAATGTCAGAAGTGGAACTGTTTTTCCCTTACAATAAAAGCCTGAGGACAAACTGCTGACACATTATAGAGAATTTCCAGCTCAAATGTGACATCATCTGACTTTTCCAATCAATCAATCTGCAGGGTAACTTTTACTCATTTCACCACCTTGAAGCAAGATGGATTAAGGCTAACATTTTAATTCAGGCTATTTAATCCATGCAACTTTACAAAGTAAATGCTTTAGCTATTTAGCTCAGAACAAAGAGGAATACATTAGATAATACAAATGAGATGATAAACCTGCTACAGATCTCCTCTGTTCCCTTCAAAGGGTCAGTAAAAAGCCTTTCTTAAACAGCCTTTACTCACTTCTCATATCATTTTTGTCCTCTAAATAACACAGCACTACAAAAAAAAACAAGAGAGAAGGACTTATCCTGGATAGAACTGGATGTTATCCCAGATTTATAAGGCTGACAGGAAAGCCCTTTCCTAAAGTGCCCATTAATTATTGAACAATGCACATTCCAAAACAACCCTGCCCTTCATCTTTAATGGATAATGCTTTTAGCTATATTCATATATGGACACAGAATGTAAATTCTGCATACACACAGCATGTGGAGAACTTGGTATATGAATGTGCCACATTATCCATAATCCCAGTGTGCCTGGGATTCACAGGCAGAAGTTAAGTCCAGAAACATTTCCTGAAATTTGTCCAGAATTGTTAGATTAGTCACTTAGAAAGACAGAAAGATGATTTCCTCTTTCCCTTCTGTAATTTGTGAGTAAAGTTCACTTGTCCTCCTGCCATTGGAACCCGTCAGTCAGCAAGAACACAGTGAGGATTCCCAACCGTTACTGTCTATCCCTGTCAAAAATCCTTAGTTTTCTCTAAGCCATCAACATAACTCACCTAAATAGGTTTCTGCTAAGATCTTAAGTGTATGCACACTGAAAGTAGCTGTCACATCAGTCATTATCTTACCTCAGTTACCTTCTCATTTGCTATTTCCAGCTGGGAAATGAGCTCCTGGCTCCGGAGTTTTTGTTGACGCAGCTCACTTCTGGGAATCACAAGAAAAGATGCTGATTGGCAAACAGAGGTACTTCAGTTATTGGAATGTCATTTCATAGATAGCTCCCTGAATTGTGGAGGCTTGTGGTGGGTTTTAATTGCAGGGTTACTCTTGAACCACCCATTTCAAAAGCAGCACACAGCACTTCTTCATGCTGTGCGTTCAAAAGTGTAATGGCAGAGGAACAAGATGCATTTGTTGGAATCAGCAAGACTTTGTCAAGAGCACTTGACATTTTACAGGGGTTTTTTCCCCTGTTTATTGAATCTTATTTTGGAGGCATGCTATCTAGTATGCAATAAATATAAGCTGCATTTTGCACAGTAAGTTCAATATTGAGATTAACATTCTAATTAGTGTTCCATAACCAGACCTCAATGTAGGCATTTTTAAAGGTGCTTTGAAGTACCTAAAAATAAATCATTCTATACTTGTGAGACAGACAACAATGTGACACTTAGTGAGGAAAAGGAAAATACCACCTACTTCAAAGCAGTCTTTTTACTTTTATACTGAATGAACTTTAGTGATCTTCAGTTTACACAGTATTGAAGACAAAAAACATCTGGGTTATGACAGACAAAATCTGAGCTAGTGCCTAAAGGAAACAGTTATTGGCTTCTATCAGCACAAGAAGAAGGATGACTAAAGACACAACTCCAGTAATTTTGGCCAGGGAAAGATGCAAACCTAAGTGAGCTGCTCTAACCTCTGACCAGTCTCTACCACCTCACCTTAAATGCTCTACCTGTTGCCCAAACTGCATGGGAAGCTAAAGCCTTTATTCTTTTTGAGGGAATGGAGGTAAGGCAGCAGATACTTTAACCTCAGGTTTTCACCTTAAAGTCTGCTGTTTTAATGATGGTACTTGGTTCTCAACAATGATTTGCTTTTATAAACTTTTAAACTTAGTACTTTGTAAAAGTTTGAAAACTGATACAGGGCATTTGAAATACAAGGTTGCAATGCATGTGTAACATAAGGTCACCACTACGGCTGGTAAGGAATTTCCACTCACCTGTTCTCAACCCACCATCTCAATCTCTTTCACCAGTCCCAAAAAATATCACAAAAGCTTCAACAACTTTGAACTTAGAAATGAAGGTCCATAGGCAGATATTTCAAGGTTGTTAAACAGTTAAAACCACATCTATAGGTTATACCTGTTATCACATGTGAACACTTGATATAAAAGTAAGAATTAAGATTGCAGGATCAAGTGTTAGTATGTAACACTATTTTCGTAATTTGTCCTCTGTAATTAGTACCAAGCATCAAATGAGGCATATTCCATATAGGAGACCAATTTTTAGATGCCCTAAAAATTGTGAGATACTGAAAGGAGCCTGTCTCCTGTGCTTGTGCTGAGGTGTGGAATTAGCATGCTTAGCAGCACAGACCATAAACAGAGTTTACAGGCTCATACACAGCTGTGATCAAGAAATTATTTTTATAATGAGATCACACTGAACACGTATTTAAAAAGAAACCGTTTAACCTTGTAAGCATCAGGAAATGTGATGGCTATTGAGCCAGACAGTTGATTCATTCTGAGTGTTAGCCCTCCCCCAAACACAACTTATGAGACCTCAATATTAGAACTGAGCAATAACCCCAACTGCTGGATAATTGCAGCAGCCCCCACTGCACATTGTCTGTGCTAAGTGAGTAGGAAACAAAAGGTGAGCTTGCAGCACTTCAGCAGACGGGTGATAAATCCACCAGCTGCAGCAAGTGCTTTCTGCAAAGCTCTCATGACAAATATAGCATGTGCCAGCTGTTTTTTTGGTTGAATTATACTATAATATGCTTCAGTTACTCTTAGTAATTATGAATTTTGTATACTGCCAGTACCTGCAGCTGTCTCTCATCCTGGTAAGATTTTTTTTCTTTAATGAACATCTTAAAATAAGCAGCTATGGCTGCCAAACATTGCACAAGTGCAGCCAAGAATAATGTTTCAGGAAAAGAGGCAACTTCCTCATCTCAAGATGCCATGCAATTCACTCCCTGTACTAAGGAGAAAGCATTCATGGCCAACACTTCATATATTGCCACCAAAAAAGGTCATTCCTCAGAGGCAGACTATTTTCAATCACAGAAAAGATAAAAACAGAGAACTCCAAACCCCACACATGCCTACTAATGAGTCAGGGACTCCAGCTATGACAAAGAAATGTGTCAGAGGCAAAAACTGGAACAAAGACACCCAAAATAGCTGCAGTCAGATGGCTTAAGCTAAGCAAAGTCTTTAAATATAAAAACAATATAGCAAGGATTCCCTTTTGTTAAGTACTGACAATTATCATGTAAGTGACTATTAAGGAAATTAAGCCATTCTGTATAGTTACTCATATTAATGGGTTTATGCTACAAGTGTTTTTTATCCCCCCCCCCCCCCCCACCAAAAGTTATATCTTGTTACTACACAATAATGGCAGATGAATAAGATTATTAATTTGTTTGTTCACATTGTATATTGTTACTGCATTTTATTACTTCTGTAATTAGAGTTCAGATTTTAAAGCTCCTCAAATGCAGTGTTTCATGGAAGCAAACCTAGACCCTGAATAGTTTAAGCCAATGTTTATAAATTGTTTCATGCCCTGTTTTTTAGAGGAACAGACCTGTGTACACCTATTTCTACCCCTATGCAAGGTGAACTGAGCAATCATCCATGTGTCTGACAGGCCAAAGCAATATCCATGGCAAATTGAGAGAACTGTCAGTTTCCTGTCAGGTTTTTAAGTTAGAGGATTGACCTGTCTGCAGTTGTCCAGATCTAGCCCACTTGAAGGGCATTCTGGGATGATTCAGTCATTGGATTCAATAGAAAACTTTGTTTATCCATGTGAATCTTATTGCTCCAACCAGAATCATGTTCAACAGAAATAAGCTCTTAGTGTTGGCCACTGCTGCAGAGTCTGGCAAGGGTTTATCTGCTTACCTGCAAAATTCTCTATTTAGCCCAACTTTTCATTCTCAGGGTAAGGACATAAAAAGCTACAAAAAAATACTGATACTGCAAAAAATATTTGCCAATGAGATGGCAGATATGATTAACCATGTTTTGCATTTGTGCATTTATCTACAGACCTGTAAAGGTGGGCTTTACAGAACAAATCAATCATCTTCCCTTATTTTTAAAACTTGCATAGTCTGTCACTTCATTTTATTTGAGCAGATGCTGGCAGACTGAATTACCCTGGTTTTGCCTGAATTCTGCTGTCAGAACTGTCTCTTTCAACCCTTCCCACTCTACCCTCTGTTCTGCTGTTACTGAGTTTATTTCCTTCCAGTTTACAAATTTCCTAAACATCCCTTTGGTATTGTTGATTCCACTTCCTATGTGCTGTGTCATTTCTTCTTCTCAGCTGAAGTCTGAAGAGCTACAGAGCTTCACAGGGATGCTGTAAAGTAACAAGAGCAGTCTCATCCAGATGTGGCCAGATGTGGAACCATTCTTCTGGATTATAGTGCTTCACTCAATGCAAGAGCCTTTAAAATCTTGTGTGTGCTTTCCTCACTTCTTTCAAAGGTAAATTCTTTCAAATGAAGACAAGAAAAGTAAAAAGCACTTGGCATTGAGTTTTTTACCATGGCTGTCAAAGGCAGATCACCTTAAATTTTTGGGACATTCCAACTGAGAGCCTAAAGCTTTATAATTGGAAGTAGGTCAGCAATAACAGCAACATGGATTGTTTCTAGTTCTTATCAAATTCAACACCCATTTGTGGAGAAGTGACACTGGAAATCAAAATGGCTTTTTCAACACTAAGTCTGATTTGGTTATTTGGATTACATGGACAAAAATCCACATATACAGGACCAGGGGAAAGAATCAGTTAATCTGATTAACATAAAATACTTAAATTATTCACCAAGACTTAAAAGCTCTTTTCATGTTATGAAAGAAGTTTGACAGTTTTATAAAATTTCTATACTTCTGTTTTCCAATTAAATTCCTATAAAGAATATGAAGGATGACTTTTTTTACAACTTTTTACAATGATCACTCACTTTATACTATTTTACTGCTATTTTCCAATTGCAAGCATTTGCTGGCTAAGTTCACTTCAGTACATATTAGCACTCCAAGTACATTTACCATGGATGCAATCAGGGGTCAGAGCAGTTTGGTTTCTGACTCTGCCAGAGCAGACACTGTGGGAATAAAGGGAATAAACTTGGCAGTGAGTTGTTAGCCATGCTGCCAAGAGAAAAGTTTGTATCTGGAATGATGACCTGTGTCACAAGGAGCAGTGACCTCCTTAGACACCTTCAGGGTTGACTGGGACAATGAAAGTGAAGCAAAAGTGGCTCCTTGCCCTTCTGCAAGGTGAAGATGAGGTCTGTTACCCAGAAATTCTCCTTAAGATGCATGCAGCAGGTTAGGATGCTCAGAGGGAAGAAAGCTTTTCTCATAAATGAAGACTGTAATACACTTCTATGAAGGAAATGTAATTTAGTCTACAAGTACTCAGTACACTGCCTCCAGTTTCAGCCTTGGATCTGAATTCCAAGTTCAGTTTTATCAGCAACAGTTCCATGTTCAACTTGAATGAGACCCAAAGGTCAGAAAAGCACAGAATAATTTTCAGTGAAGCTTGGAAGGATCCATTTACTTATCAACACTTCTATCTACAGTTTTTTCACTGATCCACTAGATTCTTAGGTTGTTTACATAATATGCTCTACCATTACAGTTTGCAAAATTTACTTTTACTTCTTAATTTTTTTTCAGATCAAAAACCTAACATTGACTGGTGCTGCTTCATTCTTTAGAATTATTTAATGCTTCCTTTGTGCATATGGATTACACCTCGCCAAGAAAACCCTGCAGCCTTAGAACATGACAAATGAGCAGCACAGAATGTGGAAAAGTTAGCAGCTGCTGCTGGTCAGTTTAATAAAAAGCCAAAAATGCTTCAGACACCTTCACATGGGAAATGAAAGCAATGAGGACAGGACTGGAAAACCACCCTGACTTTGAGGCAAAGGAATGGGAAACACCTACACCAACAAATGGGACACTGAGTCAGTGTTTATGGGAGCTGCACTACCAGCATAATCCTGGTGCAATGCAATCCAAAATGCTTCCCCCACACACATGGAGAGGACTTGGTTAGGAAGTTTATAACTTCCTAAAAAACCACTCAGCTATAAAACACATTAGCATGCTGCAAGAGTAATGATTCTTGTTAAAAACTGTATTTTGGTTAAAAAAATTGAATTCTGCTACATGTCACCAACACACCCTCTGCATTTGCTCACCTATTTACAGGGATCCTCTGTTCCCTTGGACCCCACCACGAGGCTTGGTGAGAACATTTCCTGCATTAGCCTCAAGAGACCTTTCAAACACAGCATTTAATTAACAATAGATTAATTAATCCATTACCAGTATCAGTCTTATTTTGTGTTCTTAATGAAATTTCCCCAATAAATGCATTTGCTGCAAAATTATTCTGCTTTTTAAATAATCAGCAACTTGATTTTAGTTCCCAACACAGTAAGAAGCTACTTGCTGTTCCTTACCTGCAGTCAAAATGTTATTGTGATAGGTGAAAAGAAATATAATTATACATTTATAGTATAAGCAAGGACTTTTGTGCTGAATAATTACTACAATGTAAATTCTGGAGCTGATTTTCATACCAACTGCATTCTGCACTACATTGCTGAGTGTCTGGCAATGCATATGGGGTGAAAAAACAAGGCTGGCTTTAAAATTTCCAGATAATACTGATAAGGGTCAGTCAGACTACTTGTCACCATGATATCAGAGCATCAGTGCACGGATTTAACACCAAATTCCTGGTGTCAGTAGAAATGACAACCTTCCTGTTTCTGTTGCCAGCTTCCTTGCCAGGTAGAGCAAATGCCTAACACAGACTTTTATTTCTAGTTTGTCCATTATGAAAAGGCATAACACACAAAACCATAACATAAAGTAACTGACTTAGCCTTTAGACTTGCACCAAAATACCTACTGAAGTCACATAAATAGGGACATTTTCAAGATTTATTACCCACTTTTCATCCAGGTTCACAAAGCAGACTTCCTTGTATTTTCTATGTCAGCATTTTGCTGCAGATAAATAAGGTCTAAATCTTTTGGTCTGCTGTAACAACATTTTAACACTGAACAGTAAAGGTTTTAGAGGGAAAACAGCTATATCACAGATAACTTTAATTATTTTGGAAGTCTGCAGTTTTCTCCTTTTAAGTGGAACTTGCTGAACCACATCCAGGATGTAGTGATGAACCCAGATGCTCAGCTGTGAAGTTTTGTATTTTGATTCACAGAAAATAAACTACAAGTTTGAGAGCTGAAATTTACCTTAGCATGAAAGATTGCAAAATAATTTTCTTCTCCAGTTACTGCATTTACAAAAGAAGCTAAAAAAGTATCAGTGAGAGCCAGGTAATTACATAGAGTGAGGCTACACCACTAAAACTGTCAGTGAATCAGCTCCCAGGGTCTCACAAACAGGCTCAATACTCGTCTTCTGATAGAGGCTTTTCCCTTTCCTAAAGAACTGTTTAATAATAACCTTTGCAAAATGCAGGATGTTTTAGGGGAAAGTAAAGCCAGCCTGTACCTGAACAGATAAGGTTAAAAGCCCCCTGTAACTGTTTGCTTAGGGAAGGTAAAGATGAGCATGGATTTCACTGCAAAGGTGGATATCCAGGTTAACAGTAGTGGCAAAGTAGATTTTCCTGGCTTGTGTTTAGAGCTGGGTTCTAATTCCACTCACACCACTGGAATTCTGACAGCCAAGCTATGCTTCAGGAACTGTAACTACAGAAATTGCATGGGATATTGGAAATATGATTGAAGCGGAGAATATGTATTAATACTAAATTAATATGTATTAATATGTATTAATACTAAATTAATACATATTAACATTAATAATAAAACATGAAAAAACCCCAAGACTACCCCAAAGGAAAGGAAAGGTAGAATTCACAGGTTCCCAATTTTAATAGGGAAAAGCTTTGCTTCCATGTTAACATGATAGCAAAGCAACTTCTAAAATCTCTCTCAGCAAAGAACCACATGAGTGAATCACTTCAAGTGATTAAAGGGCTGCTTCAAATTTATCAAGTTAACAGAGATACACAACCTGAATTTTTCTTCTCAAACCTACTGAAAGGTAATGCAATGTTATATTCCTTTCTAACTACTTGAATTTTAAAGAAATTACACTAATGAAATAAGGCTTCCTATTTTAGCAGTTATTGTGGAGCAGTGTGTCAACCTCCTCCAAGTTTTAAGCACTTTTGAAGAAGAGGAGATCTTGAGGACATAAACTTCTCTGCAGTTCTATAAAAAACACCAGGCTAATTTAATCTCAAATTAATAGCCTACTTGAGCTAACTGACAGCATTTCCCGAGCCTAGAAATGAAGCACAGGGGACACTTGCAAAACTGAAAATATTCTTGTATTCTGCACTGCAAAATACAAGTGAAACACAAGTATCAGCTTAGAAATATGGGTGAATTAAGAGAAAAGCTATGCAAATGATATTATGTATAAGTTATACAAATGCACAAAGTTTATATTGTATTTTTTTCTTAGGAGAACCACATAACCCATTTTTATCTTCATTTATAACAGCAACTGTTCAGTAGAGCACATTAGATGTACATTCCAAGAGGTTTTTGTCCAGTTTATTTTAGAAGTCTGGAGATTCACTCCACAACTGATGTTATGGCTTTTCTGAAGAGGTACAGAAGTTCTCGTAATCTAAAGTTAAAATTGTCTAAATTGAATGTGCTGTATCTTAAAGGAGAAAAATGAAAAGTACTATATTCCATTTGCTTTTTGCCATTACAACACCTTACACATTATCTACAAGATAATGAAACAATTAAAATTTTACTTCAGTGCTGACTTCAGAGAGCATCACAGTTTAGATCACTTTGTTTTGATGCAAGCACATCTTTGAGTCTGGATGATTTGCTCTTTCTAGGTTTTCACCACAAGTTTTTCACCCCAAACAGCACCTGAACCGCCCTTTGCAGAAGGAGAACAAAACTGCACTTACTTCAGCTTACTGATCCTGGCTTCTGCAGTTTCAGTGAGGTTCTTTGTTTCTTCTTTCCACCTGTTTGTTGCTTTCTGCTGAGCTACCAAGAGACGTCTGAGCTCAGTGCTGGACTTGTGGCTGGTGTCCTGCAGCTCCCTGAGCCGAGCTTCGTACCCATGTTCTTTCACTGCATGCTCATGCTCCATTGTGCTTATCTAAAAAAGCCCCCCACAAATCCAGCACAATCAAATCTCTCACTCTTCACCTTTTTTTTATATTTGTTTTACATTGCCTGAGTTAAATTTATAAACGTTTGTTGAAAGTGTGTAAGATACAGTAATTGAACTTCTAATTATGTACTCAGAGCTAGGTGTTCCCAAAGCCAATTTAAGCAAATAGGACAACTGACAATAAAGGATAGTAGCTGTGTATGCTTATTTTTGTAAGTAATCTTTATTCTTCTCCCTTGTGTTTCCTCCACAGAAACAAGTTGGTTCTTTTTCATCTAGCTAAATGTGTTAGGAGTTTCATAACTGCATCTGCAACCCTTTGTGCATCAGAGGGAAATGAAATCAAGCAGTGAATCTTATCTGTGACTGTAATGGAAGCCTGCCTGATTAAAAATGAGACAGATAAAGATTTAGTATATGCTTTCTGTGCTTCACATCCACCACCTCTCTGTTACAAGATTCTCATCCTTTGTTTATGCAAAGGGTTCTGGACTTGTACAAGAGTCCCTGCTCAATTTCACAGCTTGCTTTATCTTGTAGTGCAAAGTGGAAGCCAGATTTGAGCAGGTCCCCACTCACACCTTGCAAAACTGCTTACTGAGGTTGTCTTCATTGCTCCAGATCCTCAGATCCCTTTCTTTGGTATCTTTACACTGCAGAGGGGAAAGGAGCAACTTTCAGAAAGCACATCAAGGAGGAAAGCTGTTCCTCCATCCAGGAGCCACAGGCACCCTGAATCTGTTGAGGTTATTACTGATTCCTTATCCCACCTGCAGCCTGCTCAGCATTTAATGGAAAATATTCAAAAAGAACATTAACACTCTTTTTTTTCTTTGCAGCTAAGCATAGAGAACAATTTCCTCTGCCCAGAAAATAAGAAAACAGTGCTTGAGAGCCACACTGTTAAATTATTTATCAGTTACACACTGTCCTGTCAACATGGTGGACACACAAGTAGAGGAACACTGTGGGCAAAAAGTCAGACAGACAAAGATTTCTGACACATTAGAGACAATAAATAAACAAAGATTGGGAATTGCATTATTTAATCTATTCATTGCTTATTTAAAGCAAAGAACATTTGGGGTATTCTTATCAAGGAGAATTTAATACACATTAAAAAACAATTTAATTAGCAGAGATTGAGTTCCCCCATGGATTCTGAGGACACACAATGCAACAATAAAATACTTTTAAGCAGTAACCAGGATGCATCTGGAAACTCTCAATCTTAGTTTAAATATTTTATGTTTTTTCCTTGGAACTGCTGCCTTACTAAGCAAATATTAGCCTTACATTACAAAGAAAAAACCCAAAAAACCCATACCTTGATTTTAGCTTTTTTTTGAGCCTCCACTGCCAGTTTTCTCAAACCCTCCATTTCATTGTGCAATTGTTCATTCTCCTGCTGAAGTTTCAGTCTTTGTTCACTGACAAAGGAACTCTTTTCTCTTTCTGAATCCAGAGTGCTTTGCAATTTACTGATAACTTCCTGGCAACGGGATTTCTCTTCCTCAGAGCTGAAAGAGAAGGAAAGTCTGGCTGCAACTGAAGAACAGAACAACTCCTGAACCAGAGAATGAAAGAAATAGACTGGGAGCTATCCACAAATCAGCAAAGAATGTTATCATGATGATGAAATTGATAAAATCAATCTTAGTTTCACAATTATGGTATCTTAATACTATGTCTGCTACTGAATGAAAGGATTTGACAAAGCCCTAACAACACACATTGAAAAGCTCAAATAGTCCTTTCCACTGCTTTCTGTTCTTACTTCTGTAAACTTCTGTAACACCACTTACTTCATTTCCAGCTGTTTCAGTTTGTTTTGTGTCACCTGCAGACCCCGCTGCAGGTCATCCTTGGCAGCTTCTGCAAGTAAATACTTCTGATGCAGCTGCTCCAGCTTCCTGCTGTCAGATTCGTGCTCTCTGTGCTCCCTGTAAATCTGAAGAGCCAGCTCACATGTCAGTTTACTCCTCATTGCCTCTTCTTTTCCCATGATTTAGAATTAAACTCTATTTCTAACATTGTTGCTGCCACTTGAAAAAGAGGAAAGATTCCAATGATCTGATCAGACATTTATTTTGTATTCTGTCTATTGATCTTAAGTGGAATATCTACCAGCATTCTTTTGGTTATGCTAAACATCTCTTTTACTTTTTACACTTTTCAAAGAACTTTCTTTTTCAGTTTGGTGTTGCTGCTTTAAAAGACCTTCTGGATTAAAAAAAAAAAAAAAAATTCTGGATAAAAAAAAAAAAAAGAATACAAACAACCTTAAAGTAAATACATGAAAATTTATAAGAACATTTACTCAAAAATAAAATAAGAAATTAAGGGAGAAATATATGAAAAATGGACAAAAATCTATGTATTTTTCCTTCTGTAAAGAGATCTTAAATGTGATGTAAAAATACAATTGCCTTACCTTTTCAAGTTCTTCTTCCACTGCTCTCTTTTCTCTAATGGCTCGTTCAAGTTGACTTTGTTTTTCTGCACATTCCTTTTCATAAAAGTAATTTTGAAATAAGATTTAATAAATCAAAATAAAAACTCAAGAAGTGCTGAAGCCAAACATCACCCAGTGTAAATGCAGTTCTTGCTGCTGCCATGGATGCATTTGATTTTGTTTACCTGCTCACTAATTTCTCTATAGCATCACTCAATATGCAGACCAAGACACGTCAAATGAAACCTTTTAAAGATAAATTTAATGCATAAATAGGTGCATAAGCACTGAATTCTTCTGGTCACCTGCATAATTTATTACAAGTTGCTGGTCCATTCAGAAATAGGATGTCTGTGATCCACAGACTTTCTGTTAGGATGCTTTCTCAGCTTTCATATCAGCTTTCCTTTCTACACATACAAGATAAGCATGGAAGGCTGAGTTCAGTGTCTCTGAAAGAAACAGGGATACTTCAGAAGTGCCATCACATGGGAAATATTTTCTAGAGCACAGATCTCACTGTCAAAATGCCAGTGAATTCATCTCTGGAGACATGCAGGATGTAATGTGTACAGCAATAGAGGACTGTCCTACACAATTACTCATTATTGACCTAAAATACCAAATTCTAGTGGAAGTATTTGATCAGCCAAAGTCTTAGTTAAAGTCTTAGAATGTTTTGCTACTGAAAATATTTTTATCACTCAACTCCATACCATCTGAAGAGCTGAAACTTCTTCTGTCAGCCGAGAAACCTGCATGTTACATTGCTTCTTTGCAGTGTCCACCTGGGACCAAAACAGAACTCCAAAATTAGTCCCACTAACTTCTCCATCTTGCTTTTTGACATATATATGTAGTATAAAGGTGGTGCATGTATATAAAGCATGGTAATAGCTGGGACAGCAATAACAGAAAGCTCTTATGACATAAATGTTACAAGAATTGTTGGAGAATTTTGCTCAGAAATGGCTTATAGAGTTTTGTTCAGACATGCCATAATCATATACAGCTGATGGAAAAGTAAAAGGCAGCTGTAAGAAGCAGTTCCCAAGCCTGTTTCTGTAAACAACAAAAGTTCTCAGGCACGTTTATGTAAACAGCAGAAGTTCTCAGGGTGTTTTTTAATAACAAGTAAATATCTTGTCCTTGGATAAGTTTTGGGAAAGCAAAAGTGACAAACATGGAGGCCTTGAGAACCATTCATATCAGGGTGAGAAAACAAATCTTGGTTTCAATAACAAACCACAGGTATTGAAAACAAAAGGAGGGGTTAATGTGTAATCTGAAGCCTATGATGAGCTCGGGTTTTGCAATATGTATGAGCTTAATTAACACTGTTATAAAATGTGCCTGGGGGATCAATAAATCGGAGTTCGATGCTGATCAGAGGATGGGTCGTCTCCCTTCGCTTCAACAAAGAATGATTATTATCAATCCACACTACTTTAACTGAGGGTGTTTAGGAGACAAAAAAGCACAAATGAAGACACCACAAGTGCCATTCACATCTTCACAGTGCGGCCTTCCCCATGCCAGTGTCTGCAGAGACACCAACACTTTTGCTTCTTGTTTAGAACACGTCTGGACGATAAATGCTGAAGAGGATGGTGCTATCACCATGCTGCCTTGCCACTGATATTATCCAAACTCTTGTGGGAAAACTGCTTGTGATGACCATGCACCAGAGGAAAACCAAAAAATCTTCCCATCTTTCTGAACATCAGAACTTACTTCCTTTCTAATTCTTGCAGCAGTATTTTCTGCAAGTTGAGACATTTCATCCTGCAGTTTTTTGATCTCTTCTTCCTTTTTTTTCTCCCCAAAGAGTGCCTAAAAGAAAAATAACAAAATGAAATAGCACTGATATTTCAGTGTGATACTAAGAGCACCAAGAGAAAAACACACATTGCTCAAAAAACATTTTATTTTCCCTTTTTACACTGAGGCTCAGTAACACTGACATGGAAAACATGTGGCACTAAATGCACATTCTTGTAAATCAGAACCACACAAAGCATTAGTGTCAGTAGATGCCTTTTTCTATTGGGACTTGGAGATTTTGGCTGAGCATGGAATTATACAGAAGAAAGCACAAGAACCCAGAGCAAAATTTCCACTTCAGTCTCCTGCAGAGCAAGGAGAAAACAATTTGAAACACAAAGTGTTAACATATATGTATATTAAAGTGCATGTTTTTTAATCTGTTCATTAACTGAACATGATTATTTTTTTCTTATGTTCATTGAATTTTCTTCCCAGTTTGAAAAATTCAGGATGTTTAAGCCAGAGGAGTAAATTAAGAATTGTCTGCTTGGTTTTGGCTGCTTGAGCCTTGTTTTCATATCAATATTTTTGGCACAAACGTTTTTCTATGATAGTTTAACCACACATTGTATACAAATCTTCTTTTAAGGCCCTCCAATGTCTAGGTTTCTTTGTTGATGACTCTGTACTTTCCTTGTTTCCTATGTCTTGTCTTTAACAGTTATAAATTCATAACAGAACCTTCCTTTTTTTTTTGACACCAGTACTGGGTAAGAAACTCTGAACTCTCGACAAAAAGTTTGGAAGATTCATATTTAGGTACAGTGTTGTCACTTAGATGACCTTGATCCAGGCACTCAACATATGCTTTGAAGTTTGTACTGTATGACAAATCTGAGTGATGAGTGGTCACATCCCAGTTTGCTCTCAGTGGATGACTAATGTTAATGAAAGAAGCTAGCTTGTGTATTCTAAATATCCTAATATCTAGGAAACACCTGACTTACCTGACTTTTTTGCAGGTTAGCTTCTTCCAAGAGCTGTATGCAATCTTGGACTTTGGCAACAGCATCATATGTCTCACTTTCTAGACTGGCAGACTTGGCCTGAAGCTCTGTGATCTGTTCCTCCAGGGCTACTTTTTCTGTTCTCAGCTGTTCAGCATCTTGAACAGCCACACACAATCTACAAGATAGCAGAAATTTAACAATGTGATGGTCAATCAGGACACTGATCCATTCAAACTGAGCTATTAGTAAGTATCTATTCATAAATTGCCCAAATTGCATTGTTTTCTGCTTGTTTTTGGACAGAGTGTTTTGAGTTTGATGATCAATCAAGTCCTGGAAAGAAACAGAATTATAGGAGTTAACTCAGATATCCAATCTCAGAAGATCCTTTGAAGAATCCCAGTGATATTCTGGGATACATCACTGAAAATGTTCTATATTAAACCAGAACAGCCCCAGAAGAAATAAAGTTTTCCTCTGTGGAGGAAACTGAATAATTGGATGTGGGCAATGAAGTTGCAGTTTTAGAGAAAGAAAGCCACTGGTAATTTCACAACAGCTCAGGAATTCTCATTGTTTAATTATGATTGTCAGTATTGGCAGGCATGAGAAGGGCCAAGAGGGCCTCAGAGGGATCATCAGAAACATCTTTGTCACTTCCTAACATGTTTGCCGCAAAACATGCAAGGACAGACAACCCCTCTATTTTTGTAGGGTATAAATTTTTGCATGTATCCTGTTAGTAACACACAGTGAGCTCTCCTGACCTTATTTCCAGCTGTTTTATGTTGGACTGCATTTGCTGCAAGCGTTTGTCAGATGCTGTTTCTCTCTCCTGGGCAGACATCCTGTCTTCTTCCTGGAAAGAATGAAAGTGTTACCCAGTCCTGATCTGAGCTGAACAAAATAAAGATATAATCACATAAAACAAGCTAGATAACAACTTGCAGTTCACTTAACATCGGCATTCAGAAAATGACTGCCCACTCAGTTGCAACAGAAATGATTCCTTTCTTAGAATACCTTTCTCTCCAATTGGCTCTGAAGCTTCTCTTTCAATGCCATCATTTCTTCAAGCTTAGCATTTGCTGCCTGCCCATCTATTTTGGCTTGCCTGCATATAAAAAAACCCCATTTTTAATAGAGGGGGAAAAAAATGTCTCAATTAAAACTTTGTCACAATAGCTGGGAACAGCAGAAAAATTCCACAATACTGTTCTCACAGGGCAACAGAGGTTTTCCTCCTTCTCCCTATGTGGCACAGAGAGAGAGGAATACCAAACTCCAAAAGTCCTGTGGGAATCACTTCACAGATTATAAGGAAGGAGTATGCATTGGTTAAAGAAGGACTAGGAAATCAAAAACTTCAAGTGATTCAATAACTTCGGTATAATTAGTCACAGATATCTTATAGAGAAGTCTTTTGCAGAATTACATTTCACTTTTTAAAGCAGCAGGACTAATTAAAACAATCATTATGCACTTTTGAAGAATTCAGCTGATGTGCTTTGTAATCTGAAGGAGAAGAGGGGAAAAATCCCCAGGAATAGCTGGTGAATCATGTTAATGACTAGTGGCTCTTCATCCTCAGTAGAAAACCCTGCTGAAAAAAGCAGCCCTGCCACTCCTGTGACTTGGGACCAGAGAGACACACACAGCCTTCACCTGGGGTGTAACCCAATTATTCAGGCTGCAGATTAGGCTAAATTTAAAAACCAGTGACTGACTCTATCACAAAGGTAAAAGCCAGCAAGCCTGTCTTAGATTAGCTCATGCAAACTGCAGCACCAATGGTCATGAAAGAAGCTGGCAAATATTTCATACTTTTAACAATCAACTTCAACCAAATATTTCTTGTAGAAATACTGATTTTGAATGCAGGGCATACAAGTCAAGAGTACTGTACCTACATGAAAATCTTAAGCAAAATATACAATCCAAGCAATTTTACCCAATTAATTGGATAAGTTGGTTTAGGGTTACAGTTTCTTTAAGATGCAAAAACTACAATAAAACCATTATTCCTAAACACATGGTCTTCAGTGTGGGCCCAAAACTCTGACCTTAGTCCATCTGAAACAATGCATCTTTCTCCTACAAGAAGGACTGGAAATTCAGGAGGACATTACATTGCCTCCTGCAAAATATTTTAGAAGTGTTGTAAAGCAAAATATAAACTCAAAAGGCAGTGTAAGAAGGGAAAAATAAGAGAAACATAAAAAGGTCATAAATATTAGAACACCTGAAGTATTAACAATGCATTTTAAACAACCAAGTTCAGGGTTAGGTAAAATTCAGAGGTCTGCATTTTACAGGCAACAAATTGATTCTAAAGATACAGCTTTTATTCTTTATTGTACACTATATGTTTGACCTAATTTTGGCAAGTTATCTCTGTTTAGGAGCTTTAAGATTCTGAAATGCAGATCCATGCCCCAGCTCTGCCAAGTTTCTTAATTTGTGTGTTTTATCCAGGCCATACAAAGCTAATTTAAACCTCAATTCTCTGACACACAAGATGGTTTTTTTAAATCTACTTTTGCTTTCCTGACTTAGTACCCAATTCCCATAAATCATGTGAAAATATGGAAAACATGCCAAAGGATTAGAATTGTCTGCACCATATGTTATATAATCCATGCAGATTACATCTTCATGTTATAGAAGCAGCTGGTGAAAATATTCCAGACTTCCTGGAGAAACACTGCAGCAATTTCTAGGATCAGACAGAGCTGCTGCCATTAACTTTGGGAGTAAAAAACTGTTTTTAGGGGTGCATGGACTTTAGGCTGATCTGAGAGGAAGGTGAGCATGTATCAGTGTCTGTAACTAGAGATGGATAATGACTGAATTGCTTATTTTACTCTCAGTTCATAAATCCACTGTTGAATGAAACAAAATTTTAATTTGACATCAACCATCACCAGCTGAAAGAGAGAAGAGACACAGTAAACTGGCATTGAATAGACTTGAGCTGTAAACACAAGTAATTATGAAATTTTGTCACAGATATTATTTCTCCTTTCTCTTGATATACTTCAGGAATGTAATTAACACTTCTTTTACCTTTAACTTCCACAGAACCTAAGGTTTAGAGCTCTTTATTGATAAGAAGTGAAAGCAAATTTTATTAAAAAAGTTAAAACTTGGAGGCTTGTTTGAACATACAAATTTCAGAACTGTAATGAGCAACCACATAACTGGCTTTTGAGCAAACTGTATTCTAATGAAAGCCTTTCTTCAGAATTAGCTGTGATGTGATACTGACAATTTTTCTTTTAAATCAAAGGTCAAATGTTGACTGTTTCAGGGAAAAGCTGGACCAAACAACACTAACTGGAAATATGTTACCATATATAACACTAATGATGTCTGGCAAACTTCAGAAACAGCTACTGAAGCCATTTTAACTGTGAGGGTGAAATTAGCTTGCACTACAAACAAGGCACATGGCACAGCAGCAGGTCAGGAAAAGCTCCAGAAAAGATGTTTATTATTTTTTTAATCTGCCTGCTTTATACCTCAGCTGTTTTTGTAGCTGCTCTAGTTCCACATCTTGTTCTGTCACAGTTTTCAGAAACTGCTGATTGGTCTGCAAAATAAAGAGAGATTTGTAATATGTTCACTGTAGCATTGAAAATGTTACACATGCCTTACACTGATATAGTAAAGATGGCCACAGTGGCAGGCAGCACTCAAAATGCACAATATTCTCCTTTTCTCCCCTCTCACCTATTAACTGCTAATGTTCTTCTTGCTTTTTTGACTGTTGCTAAGAATTGTTTTCAGGCACTTGCTACTTCTAAAATATCTGAGTGCTAACACTTCATTTCAAGACCACCACAGAGTACTTAAAGTAAAAACCTCATCTTGCCCACATCTATTATTTTGGTTTCACTAAAAACAACAAAATATCAGATGAAATGAACTCAGATAATCAATGAGATCTTTCTGCAAATTTCTGCAGTTTACTTCAGTTTTGACTACCCTAAGTATTTTAACATCAGCAGTGAACACTCTTGCCTCAATACTGAATCTCATTTCCAGAGCATGAATAAATATGCTGAACAATTCCAACCTGAGCACATCTAGGAAACACAGCTGTTTTACCACAATAAAAAATGTCACTAACTAACATGTCTCCTCACTTCCTATTTTTCAGTTTGTTAGTTCAAAAAAAGGGCTTCATGCTTTATCCCATGACATCTTTATGCCTTTGGTAGCAGATGGTGCCAAATGTTTTTGGGACAATGCAAACAAATGGATTATCTTTACCTTAAATATTGTCTTAACTCTTTTCTCTGATGTGAGAAAAAAAGATTTCAGTGATAAAAACAAGATTAGACTGTTAGAGTAGGTTAGGAGTCTTTTTGCCAGTATTCAAAACAAACACTCAAAAAAAAAATCATACAGGAATCAAAAACAAACTTCCCAGTCAAAAACCTCACCCCTTCTTTCACCTCAATTTTTCAATAAAAAACTACTGGAGAGATTCTATTAAAACTGCTTATCAATTTTGGAAGGCCTAGACTAAAGCTTATTAACTAAGAAGTCTCACAGTGTAAGGATGTGGATAAAGCACTGGAAGGTTATTAGAGCTCAGCAAAATGTGCAGAAAGGTGACAAAGACACTGAAGACAGCAGTACCAAAACAGGAATGGATAAAAATGTGCCAGACAGAGCATTTGCAAGAGGGCATAATTGAAAGAAATGTCTCTTTTGTGAAAACATGTGTGAAGTACACTAGCCATAATTCTGAGTGAAGTCTGCAAATTTGAGTGGCACCAGGTAATGTGTGAAGGCCTTTTGGCTTGGGTTCTGTACTTTGAGGGTCTATTAGGAAAATAAAGAAATTACTAATTCACTGTTCAGAAGGCTTTACTCACCACGTGCAGTTGGCGAGTCAGCTGCTGAATGCTACTCAGCTGCTCCTAAAAAGAGAATTCAGAGTTTCTTATCATTATTACAGGCAGAAAAAGTGAATAATTAGAAAGCTTCATTGTCACCTGAAAACATTATAAAAAACCCCTATACATGTAGCAGGAAATACAGTGTGTTTTCATAGATTTCAGCTAGATTGGCTTCATACCCCATGAAATTAGATTTCCTACTGAATTATCTATCTAATATTTCCTGGGTCACAAACTGCCTCCCTCCAAACCTCACATGCACTTACTATGAAAACATGAAGGGACACATGAACAGTGCTTTTAAAGAGTCCTACAGACTGTGGTGCTACTACAAGCATTTTTGCTAAGCAAAGTAACAGACGTGCACCCACTAATTAAAAAATGCCTGTTATGGACATTTTAATTTGTTCTTTGCCATACAGTCCTTATGATGTCCCCTCTCCTCCTTGCCTTCTGTCAACTCCAATTCTACTTGATCTTACCTATTTCTATTTACCTCTGACAGCTGTTTGCTGCTCCTTCATTGAAAGCTAAACCTAAAATAAAAGTTTATTTAACTGGAGAGCTGTTTTCTCTGGGAGATGTTTAAGAATAAAAGGCTGTTTAGCCTCGTTCTTGTCAAGGTGGAATTACAATGCACCAAAAATTGAGTTACTAATAAGAAATGGAATCTGGAAGCCCTACAACAGCTACCAATGGCTCTCTATACTCTACTGTGTATGTTATTAGTACCTGACAATGCGACACAAAAAATAATTAATAGAAGAGACAGGAGCAGAAATTTGGAACTACACAAAGATCAGAGTCCTCTTCACTACTCCTTGAAATAATTATGAAATTTGACAGAGTACAACAGCTGCACAGACACTTACCCTTTTTCTCAGAAAGGATCACACTACCAAGGTGAACTCAATACCACAAAAAACCAAAAATCAGTAAAAAAATATTTCTGAGGTGAGCTGTAGCTGTGCCCACAAGTGAAGTGCTTTTGAAAATAGAGAGGAAATATTAAAAGAATTTGTACATTCTCTCCTAGGAATACATGTAGCAAAGCACATAAAAGTTTCTATTAGTTCTTCACACACTTAGCATCTTTACAGAGCTCATCAGAGCAGAACAACTTTTCTAAGAATTCCCTGAAAGGCCTTCCCCAGACTCAGCAGAACAGAAACAGGCTGCTAAACTCAAGCTGTCATTAGACAAAGATTAGTGAACTTAATTTTTTCACCTGTTTACTTCTTTAATGAATAACAGCAAGAAATGGTGACTGCTTTTCCAGCTATTCAAAGGAGAACAGATACAGAAAGACTTTCCCCTCAGAACTCAGAAATCTTAAGCAACTTTTCCAGATGTTCCACCATCCTGAAGATTTCCGACTGTGCAATTCAAACACAGGATTATTTATATACACGTGCACATTTTGTGTACACACATATATGCACAATGTTGGAATCTATAAAATTAGAGGGCTTTTTGGGAAATGGTTAAAATAGTTAAAAAAATATAGGCCTCAAACTGAAGTTTTGTTAGCATTGCAGATACAGCAGAAAAGTTTCCCAAGCAAGCAGAAAAGTTTCCCAAGCAGTAGAGCACACGTGACAAATAACAATAGGCCTCTGTAGAATTAGCTTTAAGATGGCAACAAAGTTATTTAATGTATATCTTTAGAAAGTCAGCATGAATAGAGCTCTGTTCTTTGTCTCTTATGAACCAGTCTTTGTTTTAACTACCATTACGTGTGTTTTATAAGATTGGATAGAATGCTTGTCAATATGTGTTGTTCTATGTATGATTGGCTGAAATCTAGACTGAGATGGTTTTATGTCTTTCTGTATCACCCCTCCCTGGAGAGACATTTTGGTGTGGATCAGTGAGCTGTTAACATCATGTCTCCATTTTGTGTTTTGAGACTGATGTGCTGGAAATAAAAGCAAAAATCTCTTCACTGCTCTGGTTCCAATGTTGTCCATATCTGGACGTTTTGCCGCAGCATAGTGGGTTCCTTTTTTAAGACGTGGGTTCCTGACACAATTGGACTTATATCTACCCTTCCCCCGCAATAACTTTCCCCTCAGAACTCAGAAATCTTAAGCAACTTTTCCAGATGTTCCACCATCCTGAAGATTTCCAACCATGCAATTCAAACACAGGATTATTTACATACACGTGCACATTTTGTGTACACACATATATGTACATGAAAAAGAAAAAAAGAACAAGAAGAAATGAGAATTACACTCTGCTTTTTCCTCTCAGCTATGAGAAGGTGTGTTCTGGTCAGGCGCTCCTGGTACTGCTGCTGAAGCCGGTCGTGCTCCTGGGACAGTGTCTGCCAGCGCTCCACTGCTTGGTCTCTCTCCTAATTTACAGAAAAATATTCTATCACAGCACCTTTGTCTTCATCTGGCATTGGCTAAGAAGACAGGTCTTAACTTCTGTTGTGAAGAAATGCCAGTACTATACTTTTCTCTGCACATATTATTTTAAAATTTAAATTCAAGTGCAGAAAAACAGATGCTTGGAAATTGAAATTCCACTTCTGTCGCAGACATTTTTTCATAGAAATGCTTTCTTTGGGACTTGTTCATCTTCTGGGAAGCTGAGGCCCCAGAAAGAGAATGTAAACTGATTATCAGCTGCTGTGGCATGCAATAGGATGCACCTGTGATTGGTTCATGTTCCATGTGTACAATTAAGGGCCAATCACAGGGCAAGCTCTCTGGAACACAGTGACAGAGAACTCTTGTTTTTAGATTCTTTTCTATTCTATTCTTAGCTTAGCAGCCTCTGCAACTTCTCTCCTTATTCCTGTTAGTATACTTATAATGTATTTTATATCATATATCAATAAATCCAGCCTTCTGATCATCAAACAAGATTCTCATCCTTCTCTCACCCTGGAGACCTCATCAGGTTGCTGTAATACACTTCCAGTTGTCTTTTTTTTGAAGAGTTCAAACTTTCACAGGTCTTTAAGGTAGGCCTGCAGTATAGACACTATTCAAATACCAAAATTCAATTGATATATTGTAATAAACTGAACAAAATTCACTTGTACTTTTACACTTAGATACTATTTTCTACATCCCACGCTTCCCTCCTCATATCTCATTACAATAGTTTTGATTAAAATGACAAGTTGCTACAAAAAGCTTGAATTGAACAAAATATTTCATGGAGTTGCTGATCATGAATTTGACATACAGATGAAGTCAACTAGGTAAAATTAATGACACAAATTTATATTAAAAATTATTTTATGAATCTAGGAAAGAAGTTTCTTCAATCTTTGAGCTCAAGAGGGGCTCAAAACAGCCTCAAGGAACTCTGCCCAAATGATTTCTGAATCAAAAACCAAAACAGCCTCCCCTAATCTGCCAAGGCACAACAAGAGAAAGAAAACAATATAAATGTTTCATCTCACACACTTGCTTTGCCACACGTAGCTCCTCTTGGAGGGTTCTCACTGTGCCTTCATCTGCAGGAATATCAGTTTCCAGATGCACAAAAGGAAGAGCCTGCAGTTGCTTCTCAAGAGGCTCTTTCAACTCTGCATGCAGCCTGAAATTCAAAGAACTAAGTTCAGCAAGGTATTTCTTTAAAATGGATTTTTTTAAGAACTGAAATATACTGTGCCTTCCACCTGTACATTTTGCTTCCTTCCAAGTCAAATTTAAATATATTCAATTATGTTCTATAAACAAAATGGACAGTTTGAGATAATGTCACATCTAGGTCTTTTAGTGACATGGTAACATCTCCTCTACCTGGTGCTGTAATCTGTATTAGCACTTCAAAACTCTAATGTTAGGCTCCTGAATTTACTAAGTAGAAGATTTCAAAGATATCGAGGTGCTAGGAAAAAAAAACTTTTAATGTTTAGAAATCATGAAAAATGGCAGCAGCAACACGGCAGTGCAATTATTTACCTTTCATTTTCCTTGGTAACTTCTTCCAATTTTTTCTTCATCCCACCCATTTGTGCCTGATACAAAGACATTCAAGAGTTAGCAGTCTTTTAAGTAACACAAACTCTGGTAACACTGTCAATTCTGTATTTCTGACTGACATTGTAAAAGATGGACAATTTAATCCAGCACAATACAGGAAATGAAAGTCAATTGCTTTTTAAGGCAAGTCACAGGATGCCACTTGAATTTCATGGCTGCCAAGTCCTGTTACACCTCAGAATTTATTAGTTATTACAGACATTAAACTTAACCTTTTGAAAGTCTTACGGCTCTTACAGATTGATTTTTAATTAACTCAAGTTTTTAGGGGTAGAGTGGATAACTCATCTTTTATGCTGCAAGCATTTGATGAAAGTTTAGCAATTCACTGAGGAGAAACTCGAGTTATATGGACCAAACTGGCTGTTTTGTTTACTAGTGCAAGGAAGCCATAGTGCTCCTGTTGCCTCCTGAAACTGATCAAGCTGCAAGACTATTTGCAAAATCCTCATGATGTACAGATCAAACCAATTAAATGCAATAAACCAAAAGCAGTGTGGAACTTCTGCATGAAGATCACAAGCAAAAATTGCTTTCTGTGTACCATAAGTTTCAATACCGCTTATATTTTCAGTCATGTGAAAGGAAGATGGATCCCACCTCAACCTCCAGGATGACACTGTTGCAATTTGGACAATCTCCCAACCTTTCACAGAAGCTCTCCATTCATCCCCTTGAGGCAGCCTGCAGTCCAGCAGCTTTGTGAAGCATGACAAAAAGTAGTGCCCACATATTCACTAAAAGGAGAAACTTCCAGTCTGAAATGTAGGGAATGCCCATACCTGATAAAGCTGCAGCTGCTCTCTCATTTCCTCCACCTGTTTTCCATACTCTGTGATGAGAGCTGACAAGCTAAGAAGTTGAAAAATATGATCAGAATAAGTTTTGGAAATGCTGAACTGCTCTGATAATTAACTAGTTTTAAAGAATTTTTAATCTAGAGGCCAGAACAGAGCAGTCAGTTTTCTTGAGTTTCAGAATCAAATGAACAAATTTATTCACTACTTTTAAATAATGATTATTAACAGCAAGGGTTCTAGACAGCAGAAATAGAACATATAATGGGATATTATAAATGACCATTAATACAATATTAATATTTCATTGAGTCAAACAGAATCCCAAATATTAAAAGACTAGACTAAAATGCAGAACACTGTAGATCTACTTCTATACATTCTCCCTCCTAATATTTTCATAACTGCTAGCAGTTCTCTGAAAATTCTATATTAAAAGCTAAGAAGAAAAGCTAGGTTATTTTTGTAAGAGGAAATTACAGTGATCATGAAACCATTTCCTGATAGACAACTGTTAGTTGAAGAGTGCCAAAAAACCATTTTTAAAAACATCCCCCAATCTCAACAGACAGCAGTTACCTGTGGTGCCTAGATCTGTGCAGTCTTACCAGAACTTTTGTTTATTCTCTCAAAACTTGGACTAGAAATCCCTTCATTCATCTCTCATCCTTTATTTTACAGCTTGTGGCAGTAAAGCCAGTAATTTAATTTACTGAATAAACACAATACCACCTAAAAAGAACTTTTACAGTAACAGCTCTACAGACACATGTATACAGGAGCTAGTTCACCTGGATGTTTACACTCCTGTGAACACATGGCAATTTCCTTCAACTCCACTGCAGCATTCCCACTTATCACTTGGAATCAGTTACCTTTGGTCCATCATCCTGGATCCTGATGTGCCATCACCACCAAGGGCATGCTCCTGTAATGGAGTAATAATTTAATTATTAGTAATTGCACATAAATGTATGTGTTCTTAAACTTTAATATGAAACCCAAAACTGTCTGTACTGTAATTTGTACACAATATGCCACAGAATTACTTTCAGGTTTATGTTCAAAAACCCTTGATTGCTGTCCCAATATGAAAAAATAATTATATTTTTTTCCTGGACATGCTTTGATTTCAAGCATAATTACACCTGAGGGAAAATCAACTCAATTTTAAAAGAACAATCATGAGTTTGTGTAAGAGCTTGGTTCATTTCCATGCATCTCAGCATCAGGAAAGCACTGAAGCCAGAGCTTCTGCACAAGCTTTCAGACAGGCTTAGGGTACCCAGCACAAAAAGCTACCTCAACATGAGGCCAATCTCTTAGAAAAGTGAAGTAGTGTACAGAATTACAAATCAAGTGCTCTTTCAGGGATAAAACTCTCAGAAATGCACCAAAAATACCACAATCCATTGTTAGGGCAGTTTTTTCTGCTGTTGCTCTGTTGTATGAAGGACCCAAAACAGGGCCAAGCAACCCTGAAGCGAGTTGTGCTCCATATTTGGAAAGTTATTTATCACAAAACATAATAAAAAAAAATTTTACTCCTCCCTTGCCTGAGTTCACATACCTGCTCAGCAGTAATTCTCAGAACCTCACTGGTTTCACAGTGTCCAAGTGCCATTTTTAGCCTCTGATCTGAAAAACACCACATTTGAGAATCATGGCTATAACACAGGCCTCAATCTAAATAAATGGGACTGGCAGTCAGAAATATGTTTAACAATATAATGTTTCAAGGGCAAAAAAAAAAAAAAAAGTTTCTAAAATTCTTCTATTTAGCACAACTGTTTAAAAAAATACTTTAAAAAAACCTACAGGAACTGTAATAACAATACCAAATATTATAATAGTAATAATAATAATAATAATAATAATAATAATAATAATAATAATAATAAATTCCATTCCTGTTATATTCAGTTTTCTTTAAGAATTATTTTTTGCTCTGTTTTGTAAGAATCTGAGTAACACTTTTGTAACTGGAATGGGTAACAAAGAAGGAAAAACACATTGGGAATGCAATGGCTGTATTTTGATTTAAACAACTTCTTGCCTATTTTTCTTGCTACACATCCCATGGTTCTTTTACTAATTCTAAACTTCTAAAGGAGGATATAGGAAAAAAACAGTGGGCATAGAAAGGAGATACAGCAAAGGAATGACAGGAAAGACAAGGGGAAAGTTGCTGCCCTTGCAAGCTACAGGTGCAAAAAGGGACAGATTCTAAACACTTCTAGAAATTCACTTCCAACAGTAAAGCATTAAATACATTCTGAAAAAAGTTCAGCATGTACCACAAAAGTATGGAATGGAATGGAATGGAATGGAATGGAATGGAATGGAATGGAATGGAGTATTATTTGTAGGTCTGGCTATTAATATTTCAAAAAGAATTCAGGTGAAATTCAACCTTCTTTACAGCAACATATTTAACATGACAAATACTCTACAACATTAAGTGGAATACTGGTTAGAGAATCTCATTTCAGATGCATTACACACATTCAGTGTTTTACAACTTTGATTTTACATTTGTGAAGAAAGAGAAACATTAATCCATGCATCAGGCTCAGAGTAGGCCTAAAATAACTTGGGGGCTCAGCTGGCATTGAAGGCAACTTCAAATCTTGTCCTGTGAAAATGTATAAATATATTTTAAAAAAATAAATTAAACTCTTTGATAGGAAAGGGAAAAATTTTAATGAATAATTTAATTTTTATTAAAGAATAATAAAGTACTGGAATGCTCTTCCCAGGGAGGTGGTAGAATCTCTGGATGTGTTTAAAAACAGACTGGACATGGCACTTGGTGCTATAGTCTGGCTGAGGTGTTAGGGCATGGGTTGGACTCAATGATCTTAGAGCTCTCTTCCAACCTCAGCATTCTGTGATTTCACAGTGAATTTAGTCTGAGTTCTGCTTAGATTCCAAGGACTTACAAAATAAGCTACAGCCAAAAGAAATATATATGAAAAGGCAACATGTAGGGGCATAGAATATAAGTAAATAAATTAAGTGTAGAATGGAATCTTACCCCTTAAGGAGTTGCAGCTGGAGCAATTACTAAAGATGAGGAGCAGGCCTGATGTTAACAGGCCACACCTGCAGCCAGTAAGAGCAGTGGTGTAAAAGAGTGGATTGGTGGGATCTGGAGTCAGATGGCTGCTGCAAGGACCAGGAACAGTCAGTGCTCAGAGGAACTGCCTATGAGAAACATTGAGGAAGTATGGAACTCTGGTGGTATGGAACTTCTGCAATGTACTGATAATAGAACTCCTGCAATATAATGACAACAAATGGTGGCCCCAACATGATTCAGGAAAAAGGACTTGACTATATGACCCTGTGGATGTGGGATAGTCCTGTGGATTTGGGGAAACAGGATTTGACCATATGACCCCGTGAATTTGAGGAAAAGGACTTGACTACTAAACTACTGGGAAAATATATCAATTACAGCTATTAGTGTTTGTTAAATAGGAGTATAAAAGATTTTGAAGAAAAGTACTTTGTAAACTGAGAAAAGCTGCAAAACTGAACCAACACTCAGAAATATATATTTGTACTGTAATATGTTGTCTGAACATTTGTGTAATTATTGGTTCTGAATGAAATATATGAATATGTCATAATGTTAATTCATTTGAATATGCACTTCTAGAAATGCTGCAACTCTGTAATTAAAAGAAAAAGAGGGAATTGTAGGGGGATACAGTGTGGGTAAATGAAGGTGGTATAGAATGTAATCTTATCCCCCAAAGAGTTGCAGCTGGAGCAATTACTAAAGATTAGGAGCAGGCCTGATGTTAACAGGCCACACCTGCAGCCAGTAAGAGCAGTGGTATAAAAGAGTGGGTTGGTGGGGTCTGGAGCCAGACAGCTGCTGCAAGGATCAGGAACAGTCAGTGCTTGGAGGGGCTGCCTGTGAGGAACATCAAGGAGGTATGGAACTGTGCTGGTATGGAACCCTTGTAATATAATGACAACAGCAGCTTTCTAATATTTGAAAAAGTATAATTTTTTCATGCTACAGGATAATAAGGACTCTTGCAAAGGCCAAGAAAGATATGGATTTTTGAACCAGGATGACTGTGTTATCTCAGACAGAAGCTTTTCTGCTGTCCTTGGAATCAACAGTTGGCTTTTCACCTTTGCCAGCACGTGGAGCTTGGTACCCAGTGAAATTCTGAGGTCTGAGTGATGGAGCTGCCACGCTGCATGCACTGTGATCCGCTGCTGCTGCGCTGCAAGTTTTCCTGCAGCACTCACTGGGGACAGGGACATTCCTTGGGACAAAGCACCTACCTCATCTCCAACTCCCAGGAATATAAACTCAGCAGATGCAAATTTGTTTGGTTATTTTGTTGGTAACTCAGGTGTACTCTGATTAAGTCATATTAAATCCATCAAGTAACTCATAATTAAAAATACCAATTTTAATCTGTAAAGCAAATTTCATGAATAATCAGCAAGAGAGCTTTCTAAAGTGTAGGAAATGCCAATCACTTGTTTTTAAAACTTTAGAAGTTTAATAATAATAAAATGGTTATAAAAATAGCAATATAATTAGAGTGATAATAATTTGGACAATTGTGATTAGGACAATAAGAACAAAGAGGTACAGATGGTCTGAGTACCTTTTTCTGGGCAAGGTAAGCCTGAAAAAGGGCACACATTAACAGAGGATTAACCCTTAAAAACAATAACCTGTTGTTTATAAAACATATTTATACACCTCATCCACGATACATAAATTCTGTTCAAACACAGAATTCTGTCTGGGCAGTGTCACTTTCTTCCTCTTAATCCTGAGAGTGTCTTCAGAGCTGAGCAAGGCAGGAAGAAGTTTGTTTCTTCTGATAATGGAGCAATAGATAAATTTTCTCTGAAAGATTTAGGTGTCCTCTGGCTGCTATCTCGGTGCAAGTGCCTCAATCCTTTCTTAAAAAAAATCCTCACACATAGTTTCTATTTTAACATTATGTTATAACCGAAACCATTACTTAAAAAAATTAATACAGCATAACTTTCTAACACAACACTTAATATTCATTTTAATATTTGCAAAAAGCCAATCATAAAACATGAATTTTTCACACTGTGGTTTCATTACTGTGAAAAATGCATATTTTGATTGGCTCTTCACAAATATTAAAACGAATGTTATATGTGTTGTGTTAGAAAGTTATGCTGTATTAATTTTTTTAAGTAGTGTGTTAAATATAGTTGTAGGTTGCAACAAAATGTTAAAATAGAAACTATGCTATGTAGGATGCTTTTTTTTTAAAGAAAGGACTCGCAGTGAGACTGCAGTCACAGGACACCCAAATCTTTCAGAGAAAAATAATTTATTGCTCTCTTATCAGAAGAACCGAACTTTTTCCTGCCTCGAAGGCGCTGTTAGGATTCAGAGGAAGAAGTTGACAATGACCAGACAGAATCCTGTGTTTGAATGGAATTTATCCATCATGCATGAGGTGTATGAATATGCAATCGGTTGTTGTTTTTAAGAGTTAATACTTTGTTTGTGGATCTTTTTTTGGGCTTATTTTGCCCAGAAAGAGGTACCTGGACGTCCGTAACTCTTTGGTTCTATTGTCTCATATTGTCCTAATTCAAATTGTCAAAATTATTATTACTCTAATTGTATCACTATTTTTATAACCGTTTTATTACTACTAAAATTTCAATTTTTTTTTTTTTTTTTTAAAAGCAAGCGATTGGCGTTTTTCACAATTACCAAAGAGCCATTCCTACAAAAACACGTGCTTTTGGCCATCACCTCATTAGCCGTTTTAATTGCTGCGGTTTCGCTAACTAAAAGCACTTCCCTCACTGCCAAACCTACGGAACGCAAAACCTTCAAAACCTTCACACTGGCAGCGAATTTAAGCCCTCATTGCCCGCACTCACCCGGCCGCGCCTCGCTCCCGGCTTTCCCCGAGAAAACTCCACGAAGCCCCGGGGGGAAAGGCCGCTTGTCCGGCTGGAGAGGAGGGAAGGAAACCCGGAGTAGTACCGGAGGAGGAGAAGAAAACCCAGAGCTGTGCCGGAGGAGGGAAAGATAACCCAGAGCTGTGCCAGAGGAGGGAAAGATAACCCAGAGCAGTGCCGGGGGAGGGAAGGAAAGCCAAAGCGGTACCGAGGGAGGGAAGGCGGCTGGAGCTCGCTGGCGCTGAGGGCGGGACGCGCTCCCCTCAGCCGCCGGTGCTGCGGGGCGGGGGCAGCGGGCAGAGCCGCCCCTCCGCTCCTCCCAGAGCCCGCTCGGTAAGGAGGCAGCCCCGGTACCAGCGGAGCCACAGCCGCTCCAGGGCCCCGTGGAGCAGCCTCACAACCGCTGAGGGCCGGGGCAGGCCCGGCCTCTCTCTCCGGGCCGGCAGCGCCGCCCCCGTCACGTGGGGAGCGGCCATGGCGGGGCCCTGGGGCCGGGTGGGAGGAACGCCTCGTTAAACTCTGTTTGCGGGGGGTTGTCTGCTTGCTGTGGGTTAAAGATGGGTTTTTAAACTTCCCTTCGCTGGTTAAAGCTGCCTTTGGCGCTTAAATTTCCCTTCGGGACAACAATCGGGCTGTGGCCGGAGCAGCAGAGCTCCGCCCGCCGGGGGCTGTGGGCAGGCGGGAGCGGCCGCAGCTCCCGGGGAACCGGCGGCAGGAGGAGAGGACACAGCCCAGGTTGGACTTTAGGAGTAATTTCTTTATAACAATAGTGATTCGTCTTTGGAACGAGCCGCACACCGTCCCTGGAGGTGTTTAAGGAAAGGCTGGTTGGCAATGACTGCAAATGAAAGCCCTAGCTAGTTGTTTCATTTCCTTGTGTCTCAAGCATTAAAAGCTTTCCTCTCAGTCTGTTTTTCTGATGTTAGCAAATCCTCTAAATTCATGTAATGGAGGCCGTTTTGTTTATCTGTCCTCTTGTTTAGTATTTCTGGTGGTTTTGGAAGGTATTTATTTAGATGTATGTGTGAAAAGCCTTAAGCTTTACGAGATGTCAGTGTAATTTGTAACCCTGCAGGTATAAACGCTATGAGAAACGGCATTTATGTAACTATGTTGTTACAGATAGGTAACATTGTTAGGTTTTTTGTTACAGAGCTAGTTTGTTTCAGTTCTGATGCTTACAAACGTGATTTGGTAATTGACCAAAGCGTGTGTTCGTTTTTTTTCCTGGGCAGCCAAAGTGCAGTTCATGTGCAGCTGGAATCTGAGATCTTCTTTGACACAATTTTCCTTTTCCAGTTGTGTAGTACCCGAAGATGGAATTCCTTATTGAGCACACCTGGGATGGTTTGCCTGTGAGCCACGAGCCGGTTTCAATAGGGCTGAGGCCGGATAATGCAGGATTGCTGATGGAAATTCGGGCTCCTTTCTTTAATGACCCTCCAGCACCTCCCGGAGAGCCAGGGAAACCTTTTGGTGGGCTCTGGGACTATGAGGGTAAGTGTAACTCTTCTGCAGATATATCTGATTTCTGTAGACACTGATCTTTCTCTGTATTTCATACGCCTGGTCTTTTTTAAAGTGACTTCTCAATCTGTGATAATTCTTTTTTTTTTTTTTTCAAAACAACCCCAAAACTGGAGTTCAGTAATGTGTGTTGATTTCAATGATTTTGAAGCTGACTTCCTGATCCTGTTAATAGTATATGCACTCAAACTTAGGTTTTGGGTTACCGATGCAACTTGTGAACTATCAGAGTCTTGACATATTTGAGTATCAAAATAATTTTGTGGTTTATATATATAGATTTAAATGCCCTTGTGGAAGGAGAAGTGAAATCCTAAAGATGGATTCGACTTGTGCTTTAAGAAGTGAAGTGTTTTAATCATTTTTCCAGAGTTCCTTAGAGGAATAGGAAGGTGTGAAATGCAGAAATTACATCTCATGAAATGCAGATCAAATTGTACCTAAATGAAATAGGGAAAAAACTCATAGTAGTGCTGGGTGTTTTCTCCTTTCCTGTCCATACTGTCGCTTTTACCCATTGCTTTCAGTAATGCAAGAATTTAATATTTCTAGCAGTTCCTCACATCCTGATTATTGAGCTATTCTGATTCAAGCTCTACTAAAATTCTCTTTGGTGTTATTATAATAAATATGCTTAAGTAAAAATAAATGAAGATATCAGTCATATCATAATTCAAACTGAAGTTTTCTAATAATGGCATTGCTGCAAGAAGCACTGTTGTAGTTTTACATGAGAAACACCATTGTAGTTGTATTTTGTGTTCCTGAAACGTGATTCCAATGTCATATGCAGCTTTCAAGTACACCTGGAACAGTAATCCTCTGTCCAAAATATCCCTCTACAGGGAAAAACCATTGAAGAGCTAAGTGCTTTCTTATTATTTTGGAGATTTAACAGTTTTAGTTACAGGGTGCGTACCCTGCTCTGAATGTGATCCCGTCTATTTCCCGTCTATTTCCTTTCCCTGCTGCATCAAGCTAAGTGTTTTCAAAACTGGAATTTGTAAAGCCAATCAAGTCAGTGTGGCACTTTATGAAGTGCCACACTGACTTGATTAGCTTTACAAATTCCAGTTTTGAAATATTAATAAGTAATATCAATAAGTAATATTCACTTAATTATTCAAATCAATTCAAATTAAATTATTCAAATTAATAAATATTAATCAATAAGTAATATTCAATTGCTCTTTGTGATCACAGCAATTGAAGATAAGAGCTCCTGAAGCTGGAATTTTGTGGCACAGCATTTTGAATATTTGGTTTGTAGCTACTGTGTACGTGTCAGTAGTGAGTCAGGCTCTGGCATGGCATAGTCAAAACCCATGAAAGCTGAGTTGTATTAATGGGATATGAAGATCTCAGGGTGTTACAGAATAGTTAATATTAAACACTGACAGCTTGTTTGTTTGGGTTTTTTAAAATTTTTTTGTTTGATTTGTTTTTTTTCAGTTGTAGAAGCATTCTTTCTGAGTGACAGAAGTGAGCAGTATTTGGAAGTTGAGCTTTGTCCGTAAGTGCAGCACTGATAAAATCCCAAAAGTTAACTTGGGATTTTATTTTTATTATTTTTTACACTTGCAGTTCTGATGCTTGTGAGACACATGTATGGTATGAGGGGGACTAGACACAGAAACTGGCTCAGTGTGGGGAATGTACATATTTGTGGTGCTATAATGCACTAATAACTTGACATAATTTCAGGAAAACTGTGCTCTGATTCTTTGACAGCCATGGGCAGTACTTGCTGCTGCTGCTTTCTGGCAGAAGAAAAGCATGGAAAGTAAGTGCTCAAGTACATTTATAATGATTTTTATTTACCTGCTTTCTGATCAAAAGATAGTCAATACCTCTTATTTAATTTTTTTTTTTCTCCTCCTTTAACAGGAACAACTTCCTTTGGAGTTTGAGGTGACCAGAATGGAAACCAGATGGGAGGGTAAAGCTCTTCTCCCTTGGAGTTATTTCCCACCATGCGCTGACAAGTTCAATGCATTTGCAATTCATGGCTCGGGAGAAGAGAGAAAATATGAAGCACTTTATCCTGTGCCTCCACACCAAGTGCAGGAAGGACAGGAACCAGATTTGTAAGCATAAAATGAACTCTTCTGTAAAAGGGCTGCACTGTTGTTGAAATACTTGAAAAAGCTGATCTGGTTTTTGATTGAATGCCTTTAATATTATTATACTACTTAGCTCTGGATCCACTGGTGCTGTACTTTCTGTAAAGCACTGTAGTTAGTGCTTGGTTTCCATGATAAGTGCATAGAAAATGACACATTCAGTACCATTGGCATCTGCTTTTATCACCTTTCTCATCTAAATCATGGGTAGGTTGTTCTACTTTTCCTTCTTGATTTCAGCTCTTCCTGGAGTGCTGTTTTAGTGATAATTTCACCAGTTACATTTCCAGTAAATCTCTTTTCTGCTCCTCCCCTACTCTTCTAAAAGCTTTCACCTCTACAGATGGTTCCATGCTCTGGAAAAAATTGCAAAGGCAGAATAAACTACAAAAAAATATAATTAAAGGATACCTGGTATCAGCAGAAAAAACACAGAGAATTTGGATTTTTTTCTTGTGCTTCGGGTCTGTTTATTTTCTTTGCCCGTGAGGCTGAGATGATCTGGTAAAACCTGTTACTCCTGAGCATTTTGTATAAATGAACCAGCTCTAGAGGACACCCTATAGCTCTTATGAAACTTATCAGACAATGTAAGTGATGGTGGGGTAGGGTAAATTTTAGATAAATTACCCTTTATTTAAGAAAAAATAAGCTTCTGCAACTGTATATTAAAAAATATCTGAGCTATTGTTAATAAAGCATATCAGTATTCAGTGCCAAATGGAAGTTTTTATTTTATTTTTATTTATTGTATTGCACTGGAGTATGGCTGTAATACCTTCTAAGAAGGAATTCTTTCTATATTAACCCTTTCATAAAAACCCTTGTCTTTTTCAGATGTTGGTAGCAGATGAAATTGTGTGAAGAGACTGTTCCTTGCTGATTTCATTACTCTGTTTGTCTTTGCTCTTACAGATAACTACAAAAGTTAGGATTTTGTTTATTTCTCTTTTGTTTGCAGTCATCGTTTGGAGTTTTTCAAAGACTTGAACATGAAAGCACTAACAGGAGAAGACTGGAAGCAGCCTGAATCAGATATATGGAAATCTCTCACTAAAGGAATGGATTGAGGCATGAATTTTTGGAGTGTTGAAGTTGGCTGGAGCTGTGTGGAAACAACTTCCTCATTCTGAGCAGAGGTTGTAGGTACCAGATTAGCAAGGCTTTCCTTGGCACCAAAATCATGGATCAGTCTGAAAATCAGCTGCAAAGCTTGTGGATCTGTTGATTCTAAATGTATGAACGGCTTGGACTTTTTAATCTGTGCAAGAGATGAATCTGCTGCTACCAGTGCAGGAAGAAAAATGTGCTGAAATTGCAGCCGTGCTTTTGTGAGAGCTCTGAAGGCCAATTGTCGCAGACATTTTTCACAGAAATCCTTTCTTTGGGGCTTGTTTGTTTTCTGGGAAGCAAGGGCCCCCAGAAAGAGAATGTAAACAATTATTATCAGCTGCTGTGGAATGCAATAGGATGCACCTATTTTGATTGGTGATTGGTTCATGTTCCCATGTTTATAATTAAAGGCCAATCACAGGAGCGAGCTGGGGACAGAGTCCCTGGACACAACTTTGTTATAGATTCTTTCTTTCTGTTCTTAGCCTAGCTAGCAGCTCTGCAACTTCTCTCTTTCTTCTATTTAGTATAGTTATAATGTATTATATATCATATATCAATAAATCCAGCCTTCTGATCAAGAAACAAGATTCTCGTCTTTCTCTCACCATGGAGACCTTTGACAGGTCCCTGTAATAGCCAATACCTGATTGAATTTTTTTGGTTTACTCTAGTTGCTGTATTTTAACTGCTGCTGCTTTGTTTGTTGACTGCTGAAGGAGATCCTTATGTGCCTAGGTTTTTTGCTTACAATCAGGAGGAAGAAAGAATGGATTTTGGAGGCTCAGTACTTGGCCTGCCAGAGGGATAGCACTGCCCTTTCCCATATGTTCCTGTGCATGAAGTTTTCCCTTGCTTAATGCCAAAGGGGAAACTTATTCTGTCCCACAGACCTCTCTGTGGAGTGCCTGATGGTGTTTAGGGGCAGAGGATAGATTTACAAAAGGTTTTATGTATTTCAGGTGAAGTTTTTGGGACAAATCATGCTTAGTAAAATCTTTTGGTATAGTTGTGTGCATGCAAAAGCAGGTTTTTTTTTCCTAAGGCTTGTCATATCACTTCAAGAATTTATCTCAGTTGTCTGAGAATTTTTTTTGGCATTCCTCTGAAGGCTGGAGATACTCTAGGTGTACATTTTCTGTGTATGGGCATGAGTCATTTTAACAATATTGAATATTAGGTGGCAACATCTAATCTGTAAACGGTCACCAGATTTACAAATCATATGTTCCTTTTTTTTGGTCTGGCTTAGCAGCTGCTGCTTGATTGTGGCTGCTGATTTAATAAACACATTTTGATGGTCCCATTTTTTCTGCTGCCTTTCAGCTTCACTCTAGCTGTAAGTTCTGCCTGAGAAGAAGGTGGGAACATCTGACCTTTGTGGAGGACATCTCAGTGTGGTTAATATCTGAGATAAACTCTGAACTGACATGCTTTGTTTAGCTCTAGATTCCCTCCTTGTGCTTTCAGTTTTATAGAACTGTGCTTTCAAATTAGAAGATATTAGATTTTTGTGGGTTTTTTTTTTTTTCCCTGTGGCAGACTTTGGCATGTCAGTGCACTCAGCCATCCAATTTGCTCTGTTTCAATTAGACAGGATAGGTTCCTTGCTGTAAAGTGCCATCTGTTGAAAATTGTAAGTATTGTACCATCAGTTGTTTGGCTTCTTTTCTACCTTCTATCCATGTACAGTTTTCTAAAGGAAAATAGTCTGAAATCATGAATGTCAGTCTGAAATAATGAATAATTCAATAGATATTGATTAAAGTATTATCTAGACATTGGTGTCTCAAAGCTGCTTGAAAAATTTTAGTCAAAACCAAAATGCCATTTGGCAAAACTTTTAGACTTTGTCAAAAAACTGTGTGCAAAGATTCAAAATGGGTGTACTGCTTTTCTCACAAAGGTTGTTTTCCTCTGAGGAATGATACTTTGTATGTAAGAGATAGTAAATAAAATTTTTATTTCTCTTGTTTATTCCTACTTCAAACTGCTTTGGATTTGACTTTGGTTGTAAGTGATGAACTTGGAGGGAAATCGATTATTTTCCCCAAATAAGTAATTTAAAGTAAAACCATTGTCCTTGTAGTATGAAATGCAAGTGCTAGGTGCTCCAGAAAGTGGAAATTATGTTTGCAGCCCCAAAGACCTTGTTCTTTTTGCTTCTTGCCACTAGGTGGGAGAAGAAGGTTGTCTAAACTGTGCCTTGGTGCTGCCAGCCTAGTCACCCTTACAGATCCCTTCCTTCTTGCTATATCCTTGCTTTAGAAAAAGGATATTTCAGTCAAACTGATGGTGGTTTATTTTGGTTTATTTGAGACATTTTTGTTGCAAGAAACGCTTGTCATCTGTGCAGTTACAGTTTTAATGTTTGCTTTCCTGCAGGGCTGTTTTCAAAAATAAGTTTTGAGACAAAACCAATGGAAGATAAATTCCACGAGGTGTCAGTCAATCTGTAGTATAAAAGTAGTTGTTTGGTGTTCAAATGATTTGTGTTATTCGGGATTTAATTTTTTTTTTTTTTTGCATATGTCATGAATAGTCTCTGGCAAACTTTCCAAAAAGGCTGTTTTGAATTCTGAAGGAATTTATTTCATTTAATAGAGGCTGTTTTGTGAGAGGTGGTGCACCCCTTCAAGGGTGAGGCTTCAGTGGTTCAAACAACCTGCAGTGAAACAACATGAAAACTGTGGCTTAAGAGGGATAGAAAATTTGTTTTCTTCAATACAAAAATGTAAAAAGTGATTTGTACCTTTAACACAAAGCTGGAGCAACTTCAGCTTCTAAGATTTCTTGTAGTGATCCTGCACATTGAGGTTTTTTTGGATGCAAACGCCTTTAACAGGAGTACAATTTTGCTCATGTCTTTGAAAACTTTAAAATATTTTTTTCTGGTATGCCAGGTCAGATAGTAGAGATAGAAAGCTCTAATTTCATTCAGGACCATATATTTTTTGATTGCTGTTGTTAATACAACTCCTGCATTATCTGTTCCAGTTATTAGATACATGAATGAGTTGATATTTGTACTGGCCAGCACCATGATGATAAATTACTGCTGAATGTGATATTAAGTACTATGCTGCTTGCAGTTCCTTTCTTCAAGACTGTTTTGTGCCTCTGAAAGGCACAGCCCAGAATGTTTTGTGTTTTGATTTCTGACCATGTAAAAATCCTTTGGAAATGTGAATGGCACAGTGCATAATTTGCTGCACATAAAGTTTAAAAGAATTGTTCCCTGGTACCAAGGCAATCTCTAAAGTGGAATTCATTGTATTTAATTATGGTACTTGTAGAATAATGATGCTGAAATTTGATAGTTAACCTGCATTTATTTAGTTGGTGATTCCTTTCTCTTTTTCTTTTGTTGAGTGCTTTGGTTTACTACAGTGTCTCTGAGCAGTGCTTCAGCAAAAGTACAGGGAAGTGTGTTAAGCCTGATTTATTTGCACAGGTTGTGTAAACAGCTGTGTATAAACATATAAACAGCCTCAGTGAGATCAATACAACACTCATCATAAACTGTATTGCAGTTAGGCCTTTTCCCATCTACTTGTCTGTCTGCTGAAATTAGCATTGTCAGGAGAATTCCGTTCTGTTCAAGCTTGTTTTCATTATTCTGTTCCTGAACAAGTAAAAGCCTTGGCTGCAGGGGGTCTGTGGGAGGCTTTCCAGTGATGGATCAGGATGCACTGTTTGTGTCTGCACTGGCTATGAACATACCAAAATATTTTCCTGTTTCATTTTCAGCAATTATGCTGTAGACTCTCACAAAGTGTGTGTGTAAATACGGTCTGCCAGTTCTGTAGTGTATTTGCAAATACAAATGTATTTTTAAATGTGGTAGACCAGAGCTATTAAAATAGCTGAGGTAAACATTACTCAAGTAAAATTAAATTACCACGTCCTTTCTGCTGTTTTAAAACCAGCCCAGCCAGACTAGTCCAGTGGCTTTCTTGGAATATGGAACAGATTCTAGTGGGGGAGAAAAAAAGCAGTTTTCAGATGTTACCTTTTTATAATACAGAAATTCCCTCTGTAGAGCACATTTGTTGCCAATTTAATCTTGCCTTTCATTTCATGAGTTATTTCTCTTGAACTCAGCCTCTGCAGGCAATGAAATTTATATCTTGGTGCCACTAGTAGCTGTCATAAAATTATTCATCTCTAATTCTAGGCAATGTAATTGGTTCACTTCTTACTGCTGAGTTTGCTTCCTTCAGCAAATGAAACTGTTTGGAAACTGCTACTTTCTCAGTGCTTTATAGCTTATACAAGCCATGGCATTTATATTTAATAGTGTCTGGCACTTTAAAGAACTGGTTCTTGTTTTAAAATTGCATATTAGTTTCCTAAATGTTAACAGGGTAGGCTGTAACCTCTTATGCCAAGTATCTGCTTTAAACCTTTTTAATTTCAGCAAAATATTTAGTGGTTTCAGAGAGAGGGTAGCTCATGATGTCAGAAGAGAGAACTGTGGTCTTGTAGCTCCTTAAATTCCTGTGACTTTTGGAATGAAATGCTGGGACTTGGTGAGAGGTCCACATTGTCAGAAGCCTTTTTGTAATTTCTGTGAAGCAGCTTTTCAAAAGAGCACAGCTTGAGAGGTGAATTCTCTGCAGAATCTGCTGGGAGCACGAATCCACCCCGGCAGGCAGAATTGCCAGGGTTTGCCTTTGTCAGTGGGAAGTGTTCTTTGTGCCTGGCAGGGGCAGGTTCTGGGATGGGGAATGCCCTTTGATTGGGAGCTCAGGCTGGGGCTGCCTTCAGCCATGCTGGGAGCAGAGCAAGGTGATATTTCCCTTTACACTCTGCTGCCACTGTGTGCTTGAGAAGGTTCTGTGGACTCAGTGGGAGGCTGACTGGAAAAGGGACATGGCAGAAAGATGAAGGGATGGGTTTAAAGTATATAAAATCAGATTAAAGAAATCCCCTCGGCATAAATTTGAATTTGGGAGTGTGATAAGATAAGCATGTGCTCTCTTCCTTACTCTTTTTTAGGCATCTACCTATGTAAAAAGGTTACTGTGCTGGAAGGATTGTTGGCTGGAAATATTGCAGCTACTCTTGTAGCTGGAAACCCAACTGAAGGGATTGTTTTGTGATTCCCTGCAGTGGTTTCTCATTACTTACAAGCTATACTAGAGCTGTGTGCTAGTAGCTGGGGGCAAAGCAGAGTTCCTTGCTGATGTTCTCAAAACTCTCTTGCTGAGCAAAGCTAGTGAGA